GCCACACGGTCTCTGTTACAATTGCTCAACTCTGCCATCATCGAAGAGCAGCCATAGACAATACATAAGTGAACAGACATGACTATGTTCCATTAAAACTTTGTTTATGAGCACTGACATTTGAATTTCATATGATTTTCTGTTTTCATAAAATCTTCTCTTGATGTTTTTCCTCCCATTTAAAAATGTGAGAACTGTTCTTAGCCCGTGGGCTGCATATAGACAGGGGGTAGCGGTACTCTGCCAAGTCCTGCTATGATGTACACACAGGAGCTCAAGGTGACCAATTAGCTAGCTGATCAGTTAAAAAATGAAGCAGGGAATTTTCCTACAGATCTCTGGAAGTACTGACTGTCTTCTAGCTATTTCCTGCTAAATAACAAACGTCCATGGGCCTAAATTTTGTTATTAGCTTGTTGTAATACTTACAATGACATGGTATGTTAACTCAAAGGAATAAAAAGCTTATTTCAGGCCACTGTGGTGAAATGACATTTACCTAATGCAGATATAAATTTTGTGTTAATTAGTGAGCACTTGACACTGATGTAATTTGATTAGTGTGGCTAAGTCCGTCTTAAACTTGCTCCCTAGTACTAACAAAATATGTCCTTGAATTAAGAAAATTAGGGCTAAGTGACAAAAAGTACCAGATAATAAGAAACCAACTCTACCATTTATAATCATCTGTTATATAATAAAGATAATACTAATGGGCTCATCATGTCATTATGAGAAGCATGAAACAGGGCACTTCACACTTAGCAGTTTAGGTGATCTCACTGTCTCGGATAGTCCTGATTTCATCTCAAGTCGCATTCCAAAGTCTTCAAACCACTGCAAACCTCATATATTTAATTTGGAACTATTTTCAACCAAGAAGTCTAAAACAATTCCAGTTTTGAATAAGATACTGTATATCACTTTTACTATTTTGTGAAAATGCTTTATTTAAAAAAAATAACCTAAGAGAAAATTAGAGTATTAACCATCTGAAATCTTAAAAACTGATCTTTGATGTGGCTGAGATGTCATGAATAATTCTAGTTCTATGATTTGGAGATGTTACTGAATCTTTCTTAGGGACAATAAACTGATGCCAAAATGATTGTTTTGAAGATTGAGGTGTTTGTAAATTTAATTACATAATTATATAGTACAGGCTCCATCAATGTTAGCTATCAAGTTGAAATGTCATTACAATCACTATTTCAGTTTGTCTCTAAGTGTACCACCATAACATAGTTCTCCAAACTTTACAATACTTTCCTACAATTCCAGAACCAAAAGAATCTAGAAATTGCCCAGTCCAGTGCTCTCATTTTATGAATTAACTGACCAGGGAGGTAGTAGAGGCTGGTGTAAAAAGCAAAGGCTCTGAAGTCAGACATGCGCGGTTCCGAATCCTCATTCCACCAGCCCACTGTGGTACAATCTAGGCACATTACTTTCACAAGACCTCAATTTCCTAATTTATAAAATGATGAAAAATGAGATAATACTCATAACATCTGAGCACAATGCCTAATAGCTAATTTTTTAAAAAAATCAACAAATGTTCATTACTATTATCAATCCTAATATTATTACAAAATGATATTTCTTCCATTTCTTTTTGGGATGTATAAATTGCTCCAGTGTTTATTCTGAACATGACTTTTGTCTAACCATACTGGCCAGACTATAGCAGACTATATGAAATATTTATTTATAAATCAGACCAACTCTACATCTTCTTCCTTTTTGTATGTGACTCCTTTGTTAATATATCCCTCAGTTTAAAATTACTTTGCAGTCTTCAAATGCTTTCATCTCTCCAACTCTGCTCCATGGCTCCTTGGAATATATATGTGAAAATCACATGCTAAGTATGTTTGCAAAATACTTTGTTAAAAGATTACACAGTAAAATATCAAAGATGGTTTTTGGGGTTTACTTTTTTGTTTTTTGGGTTTTTTTTTGTTTTTTTGTTTTTTTGTTTTTGAGATTCCAGGCAGTTGCAGGTCAATGAAAGTCTCAGAAAGCACCCTTCCAATTCATTTGCTTCAGGAAGCAAAGGAAATAACCTATTTCCTCTTCCCTCTTTTCTATCTGGTTTTTCTGATGTGTTCCCAGATCCTCAAAGAAAGATTCAGAGATCCATGAAATCTTAATATGCCTGTTTGAAGCCAGGAAAAATAAAGAACAGTATGCCAGTATTTCAGACTAGGAAGACAGTGCATCGATCCTTGAGGGGAAATTTGGTTCAGTCCTGAAAATTAGTAAGTCTTTCTTCCCAACTTAACAGGGAAGTAATGTCAAATGGCTGAAATTTGCACATCCTTCCACTAGCCTGGAGGGTGCTCCTAAAGTAATCTTACAAACTTGGGAATTAGTCCAGCAGCCTAAATCTTTGTCTCTTGGCAGATGAGTTGCAGCAATTTTTGGCTTTTCCTACAGACCCTGTACTTGACATCCATTAGCCTAACTCAGACCCTCACCTTGCCTTTGTACTTGGGGAAGAGTTTAATCTTCAAGATGGACCCAGCCTCAATAGAAACAAAGTTAAGAGTGAAAGTTCTTACCAAACCCTTCTCTTAGTATATGCTATTTCATCTTTAATGGAGATCTTTCATTTCAGATGTTCATCAGAAAGGGGTAACTTCAAATACTCCCTTATATCTGAGCAACATTCAACTCATTTGTTGTTCTGGGCTTTTGTTTTTGTTTTGCTTCAGACAGAGGTCAAAATCCCAGAGAAGCCATAGAGATCACTTTAAATGCTGCCCTCACACTAATGGTTCTATCTTTTTATCAGCCTATTCTTCTGATTGGATTAGATTTTAAATTTTCCTTTAGACTTTGATATTTGACAAGATTCTCTCAGTACAGTGAGATTTTCTCCAAGAAAAGGAATCCACTTGATTGGATCAGAAACCACAACCTGCCTGTGGAAGTTAAACCTTTCAGTAGGTCAGGTCATGAATCAGGGGTAGTGGCATTTTATGAACCTTGCTTGGATTCTTTGATCTTTCACATAGACCTGGTAAGGAGCTTCTTCTCATTGACAGGGATAGGGGAGTGCACTCTTCTATTTCTCTTGTCTTTCTTTCCTTCTCTCCATCTTGCCTCCTCCGCATTTAACAAGAGCAGGCACAGTGGTGTGCTTTTGCTCCCTAGACGTTTCATGGCTTCTGAGGCACTTTATCTTTCTCCCTCTCTATGTATTCTGAATGTAGTATTTTGACCACTCAATATAATTTAGAGACTCATTATACAAGACTGGCACAAGCAATCTATATTCTTACCATTTATTCCAATGTTAGGGAATCTTCTGAAAGAAAAAAGAATTTTGCTTAAGTTTGACCATGGCAGTAGATTATAGCTCACACAGCCATAGATGGTGGGACTACCATTACGATTTGGTAGATGCCCCAAGACCCAGGGCAAGCAACCATAATTATCTGTCAAGTAAGTTCTCACCTATACTCAAGTAATTGTGGAGTGGTGCCTTCAGTTACAGACTTAACACTAGCTTTGAAACTTTTGACCTAGTTGTGTTTAAAATTACCAAGTGAGCAGGAATTTGTTTTTTGTGCTGGCATTCGGTCTTGTAAAAATAAGAAGAAGGGAAGGTGATTATAGGCACCTAACATCGAATTTAGTAAAAATCACTGGAGAAAACCAGAAGTGTGATTTAATGATCTGAGAAATTAGGCAAGTGTCACGTCTGAAGAATCTTAAAATGGTTATAGGTCAAAGCATTAAAAACTTCTTTGGGGATGGAGTGGCTATAAGGAGAACATGGTGAGGTATCTGCCAGGGGTTAATTGCAACTCTGCATGAAAAGCAGTTAACAAGTGAGAATTAGAACACCCAAGAGGAAAAGAAAAATGTTTCCAGTGCCATGAGAAATAAACAACAAAGAAGAAATATTTCCTTTGGCTACCACTACCTCCTTTTCAAAAGCTCAGAGGAGCTACGGGGAATGCCAAGGACTGGTTTTCTCTCAACTCCCTCTGAAACATTTGTCTTCATTACCACTCTTTTTAATCAGGGCTCCTTCATGAGTGTTTCTGCTCAGCCCCTAAGGGGCAGCTCTGGTCTGCGATAAATCAGAATCCACACCACAAGTCACTAATCAGCACTCTCAGGGAAAGAAAAACAGAGAAGTGCAGACCACTACAGGCTGAAAAGGCCTGGAGGCCCACAGGCCTCAAGGAAGAAAGGCCCTGACACAGAAATAAATTGGTGAAGAAGGAAAGCGACTGCAATGTCTAGGCTTTATTTTAAAAACTCAAATGCAAATTGTTCACACTTAATTATAAGAATTTGGAATATGATTTCATTTTAACAGTATAAAATAGATTATGAATTTATTTAGTGAACTGTAATTTATACCCTTGGCTTAATAATTTTCATACCCAATTCAAAACTTAATAAGCCCAAGGAAGAGGAAAAGAAGATAAATTAAGATAATTAAAACTATCAAAGTCAGGGAGCCCTCTGTCACGCCTGCTGTTTCAGCGATATCATTAGGAAATGAAACGTTTCAATTAAGAACTCTCTAATGTCTATGATATGACTGTTATTTTTTGTTATTTTGCTTAAGTGGAATTACAAGCATAAAATTACAAACACAAAGTATTTTTTTCATTTGGAAAGTATCTTAGAAATAACCTATGAAAAAGTTAAACAGACTTGTTAAAGGTCAACCTAGCTAGGTAGTGGCAGAGTTTACTCTAGAACCTAGGTCTCCAATATATATATATATATATATATATATTTTTTTTTTGGAGACAGACTCTTGCTCTGTCGCCCAGGCTGGAGTGCAGTGGCGTGATCTCAGCTCACTGCAACCTCTGCCTCCAAGGTTCAAGCGATACTCCTGCCTCAGCCTCCCGAATAGCTGGGATTACAGGTGGATGCCACCAAGCCAGGCTAATTTCTGTATCTTTAGCAGAGACAGGGTTTTGCATGTTGGCCAAGCTGGTCTCAAACAACTGACCTCAAGTGATCCACCTGCCTCGGCCTCCCAAAGTGCTGAGATTACTGGCATGAACCACTATGCCTGGCCCAAGACAAATATTTCTTGATGCTGACTTCAGGAGCTAGAATCAGAACTGGTTGGAGCCCAGCTAAACTAAAAAGGTCAATTTGATTAGGGTGGGGGTGCTCCTAGAGGGGATGTACAAGAAGCATGGCTAGACTTTTTAAATCTCCATTCAAAACATTTGAACTTCATGTTATAAAATGGGATACAATCAAAGGTTCTTGAAAACAGGGGTGGCAGGATAAAAATTATTTGAGGAAGAAGATTCTATTCAAATTATGCAAGATAAACCAGGGAGGCAGCAGGGTTAGAGAGGCTTATGTTTGTGGGACCAATCTGGTTACTTCTGCAGTGTCCCAGGCAAAAGGTAATCAAGAATCAGTTTTGTAGTTATTCTAATGATAGGTGTCCTTGGGTTGTATTGGTGGAGAATAAAAAAATTGTACAGATGAATTTCTCATAATTAATTGGGAAGATAATTTGCCACTTTTTATGAAGCTCTGGGATTTAGAATTGAGAGAAATACTTGTGGAATTATTATTAATAAACATGAGACATATAAAAAAGTATGTACAGTAAATTTAAAATTAGTCACATAAACTCAGTTAAGGTGAAAGTGGGTCTTTCAGTTGTCCACCAAATATGTGATTACAACAGCTGGACAGATGTCATTAGAGCATCATCCATATGCTCTATCTTGAACCTGCCAACTGTCTGAGTCACACACAGACTGTGTGTGTGTAATGGTGCTGTGGAATACAACATTGCCTTTATAAACAAAAAGCTACAAAACAAGAATCATTGGTGGTCTACAGAAAAGTGTTGGCAGCCTTTGTTAGTACAGATAAGGATTTTATTTTTCTTTGAAATTCTGTAATTAAGACAGAATAATTAAATGATCTGCTGTGAGAAATTTCAGCTTTATAAACAAAAATGGCTTCTGCAGACCTTGAAGAATAGCTCAGTAGAAGAAATACTCAGATTGTAAGTTCTAAAATATGGACAAGGAAGGATATAAGAAGAACATGGGAGAACTAAAGGTGTCAAACAATGGTTCTGAGACTGGACATCTGCAGCTCCCGAAACAGGAGACTCTCCTTTTCTCCAATAGCACAGCCAAGGCAACCAAAGCCTTCTACGTTTCCAGAGCCAAAAAGATGCCGAAGGCCCTGGAAGCTAAAAATCAAGACTAGCTGCTATAAAGCAGACCATCTCAGACATATTCTCATTCCTGACAAATACCCACCCACCAGCGGGACTGGGAGACACATGGCAACCAGAGCAAGTTGTCAAAACTTACCATTATAAAACGTCCATCTTCCAAAAATACAATCTTTGCTCAGGGCAGTGTTTTCCTTGGAAGACAGCTCTTTTGAGAGCTATAAAAAGGCGGTAAGAATGGATGAGGTTAGCTCTAGCAGTCTAATCTAACAATCATGTCGAAAATGTAAAGGTGAATAATGGTGGTAGAATGTTTTACAAAAAGACAACAACAACAACAACAAAGGAATTCATTAATTATGTTCCTCTACTTCAAAGAAATCCATAGTTTTTAGCACTGCTCTTTTGAGAAAAGAAAGTTGCCTGTAAGTTCTCTGGCCCTTCTTCTTTAATTTCCTTTCTTATTCTATGCCCTCAGGTGGCTAGCCTAGTGCTACATGGCCTAGGCTACATATAAAGTTCACAGCTCTTTGCCTGATCTCATGATCCTCTATCAAAACAGCACTTTCAAAAGTGTTTCCTGTCTAGCTCTGCCCTTGCGTGAGTGTTTCCTTGGCTGGATCAGCTGCCAAACTAAATCCCTTTTGTAGAAAACTGCGAAGAACTCAATATAGCCCTGTCCCGCTCTCCACCTTAGGCCTGACATCCGGAAGTGACTTAGGAAGTACTCTAATGGTTACCAAATTTTGGGGAACTGATTTAACTTTTCTGTGCTAACCATGTGTTTAGGAGAGACTGCATCACTAATCATCACTTGACCTTGCGACAGACCAAAAGTTGCCGATTTTTTTTCCTGGGGGGAAGAAAATTCTACCAGCTAGCATAATGATGTAAATGCAAAATCATGTTGTGAGATGACTGCCAATATGCTGGTTTCCAGATGTTTGACAAGACAGTGCAGAAACAACACAAAGGAGGGCTAACAGTTTCTGTCACAAACTCTGCTGGGTTACTTACTTGCTTTCTCTCTCTCCACACTTTTTTCTTTTATTTTACAAGTGCTGCAGATTGTATATAGCTGTCAAATGATTCAAATGATTTGAGATAGAAAAGAATGGAAAGTTTGTCCATTGCTTGTCAACCTCTGTCTTTGAAAACACAGAACATTTTCCAAATCTATTATCATTACTGTGTTCAGCAATAATTGCAGGGTGATTTGTTTGAATGTATATCTACTGGTATCCCACCTTTCACTTAAATAAGCTTGTATGCCAAACATATAAGAAAGGAACTTGAATGGATCTCTG